GAGCAGAGTGACATGTGTTGTGAGATAAGCTTGAGGCTTGGTGTTGGGCCTAAGCCCTCCCAGATAAGCTGGGAGCAAATAAAGCAAGACCTCTCAGAAGTAAGCTGGGAAGAACAGCTAGAAAATGCAAACCTGAACCAGTGCCTGGAAAAAATAAGCTCAGTAGCACTAGAAATATGTTCAAACCGCATACCTCTAAGAAAAAAAGAGGAAGATATGCAGATTGGAACGGCAACGTCGTTTCCTATATAGGGGAAGAAAACGAATCACGGAACAACTTGAGAGTCGCACCCTATCTCAAGAACGGCGAAGAAGGTTAGGTAGAGATATAGAAACGATTGAACTAAAGCTACAAGAATCATACAAGACCCAGAAGAGGCAAAGAGAGCAAAAGGCCATCAGTGAAATAGAGAAATCCGAAATATTTTTTCTCGTTTGCAAAATCAAGATAAAAACCCACATCTAGTATCGGGCCCCTGCGAAAGGGAGATGGTACTTTCACCGATGACAACAAAGAAATGAGCGAGCTACTGAGGAAGCAGTACGACTCTGTTTTCAACGAGCCACTAAACACACTGAAGATTGATAACCCAAATGAATTCATCATGGATATGATACCAACATCAAATCATATATCAGACGTCACCCTATCCCCACTGGATATTAAGGAAGTCATGGACAGTAGGCCTATGCACTCTGCACCAGGCCCTGATTCTTGGAACTCCATATTCATCAAGAACTGTAAAAAAACACTATCGCAGGCCCTCCACATTCTGTGGAGACAAAGCCTAGATACTGGCGTTATCCCTGACATACTAAAAACAGCAGAGATAGCACCACTCCATAAAGGAGGAAATAAGGCAGAGGCAAACAATTACAGACCGATAGCACTAACATCACACATCATAAAAATCTTTGAGAGAGTGATAAGAAGATCACAAAATACATGGAATCACAGCAACTCCATAACCCCGGACAACATGGTTTCAGAACAGGGCGCTCTTACCTGTCACAGTTGCTGGACCACTATGACATGGCATTAGATGCCATGGAAGACAAACAAAACGCTGATGTAATATACACAGATATCGCAAGAGTCTTTGACAATGTGACCATGGTGTTATTGCACATAAAATGCGTTAAAAACAAATTGCCGGAAAAATAGGCAGATGGATCTATAATTTCCTGACCAACAGAACCCAATGTGTAATAGTCAACAAAATAAAATCACAACCAGGCTGTGACTCATACCTCAGGCTGCGACCAGCCTCGTCCAATAGCCTGGTTGACCAGTCCACCAACCAGGATGTCTGGTCGACGACCGGGTCGCGGGGACGCTAAGCCCCGAAATCATCTCACTGCTGATTCGGCAGTTACCATAACACAGCGACATCTAGTAATTGTAACACATTTGAGGTGATTACAAATGTCTAGCGACATTTGTAATCACCTCAAATATATTACGAGTCACTAACGATCCAATTAAACAATTAAACCAGGAAATCACCTCGCTATTGATGGGGGGGGGGGGAAGATGGTGTGGATGCACAGGTGAAGAAAAAAATAAAGAAATGCAAAATACATATGTATAATACTCACAGGTTATACATCATTACATACCTGTGAAGGATGAAGAAATTCCTTTTGAAGTCTTGCCAGCAAGATGCGCCCTCATTTTCTCTCCTCGGAGCAGGAATTCATTTAATCTCATTAACGAGAGCTCAGCATCCGGAGGGGCAGGGAGGCGTGGGATGAGATGCTGACCCAGGTGTGGAATGGTCGGTGGGATGCTGATCCAGGTGTGGGATGGTTGGTAAGATGCTGACCCAGGTGTGGGATGGTTGGTAAGATGCTGACCCAGGTGTGGGATGGTTGGTAAGATGCTGACCCAGGTGTGGGATGGTTGGTAAGATGCTGACCCAGGTGTGGGATGGTCGGTGGGATGCTGACCCAGGTGTGGGATGGTTGGTAAGATGCTGACCCAGGTGTGGGATGGTTGGTAAGATGCTGACCCAGCATCTGGGCATCATGGGATGCTGACCCAGGTGTGGGATGGTTGGTAAGATGCTGACCCAGCATCTGGGCATCATGGGATGCTGACCCAGGTGAACCAATGAAGAGCAGAGGTGCCATAGGCACAATCAGAGAACACTGTATAAACATCAGAGGTCCGCGGTTGTTCAACGTCCTCCCAGCAAGCATAAGAAATATTGCCAGAACAACCGTGGACATTTTCAAGAGGAAACTAGATTTATTCCTCCAAGGAGTGCCGGACCAACCGGGCTGTGGTGGGTATGTGGGCCTGCGGGCCGCTCCAAGCAACAGCCTGGTGGACCAAACTCTCACAAGTCGAGCCTGGCCTCGGGCCGGGCTTGGGGAGTAGAAGAACTCCCAGAACCCCATCAACCAGGTATCAACCAGGTAATCAACCAGGTGTGGGATGGTTGGTAAGATGTTGACCCAGGTGTGGGATGGTTGCTGAGATGCTGACCCAGGTGTGGGATGGTTGCTGAGATGCTGACCCAGGTGTGGGATGGTCGGTGGGATGCTGACCCAGGTGTGGGATGGTCGGTGGGATGCTGACCCAGGTGTGGGATGGTTGGTAAGATGCTGACCCAGGTGTGTGATGGTTGCTGAGATGTTGACCCAGGTGTGGGATGGTCGGTTGGATGCTGACCCAGGTGTGGGATGGTCGGTTGGATGCTGACCCAGGTGTGGGATGGTCGGTTGGATGCTGACCCAGGTGTGGGATGGTCGGTTGGATGCTGACCCAGGTGTGGGATGGTCGGTGGGATGCTGACCCAGGTGTGTGATGGTTGCTGAGATGCTGACCCAGGTGTGGGATGGTTGATGAGATGCTGACCCAGGTGTGGGATGGTTGATGAGATGCTGACCCAGGTGTGGGATGGTTGCTGAGATGTTGACCCAGGTGTGGGATGGTTGCTGAGATGCTGACCCAGGTGTGGGATGGTTGCTGCGATGCTGACCCAGGTGTGGGATGGTTGCTGAGATGCTGACCCAGGTGTGGGATGGTTGCTGAGATGCTGACCCAGGTGTGGGATGGTTGCTGAGATGCTGACCCAGGTGTGGGATGGTCGGTGGGATGCTGACCCAGGTGTGGGATGGTCGGTGGGATGCTGACCCAGGTGTGGGATGGTTGCTGAGATGCTGACCCAGGTGTGGGATGGTCGGTGGGATGCTGACCCAGGTGTGGGATGGTTGCTGAGATGCTGACCCAGGTGTGGGATGGTTGCTGAGATGCTGACCCAGGTGTGGGATGGTTGCTGAGATGCTGACTCAGGTGTGGGATAGGGGGGGGGTGTCCCACCACCGGGATGGGGCTCCACGTTCCGGCCTCATTTACTTGCTGGCTAATTATGCCTCATTACCTCACAAGGATAACGACACGAGACTGGCCTTGTTGCCGCTAATAAGCTCCGTGTCTCAGGCGACGTGTCCTCAGCTTCCACCCTCACCGTAGTCTGTGATGGTGACGTCATCTCCCTGCACCGTAGTCTGTGTGTTGGTGACGTCAGTAGTGGAAAGTGCGCCTATGACCGTGCGTTTTGCTTTTTTCGACGCACGGGTATAGGTGCGGGGATGTTTTTATTTTTTTTCTGACGCACGGTCTTTTCCATTTTTTTTTTTTGTATCATTTCTCAACTTCTTCCTTCTGTCATATTTCGTTTTGTACAATGGGAATGTAAAGGTTCCCCTCCTAGTCCCAACCATTTCGCTCAAGGGGATAAAAGTCCGGCTCCCGTCACACCTAAATTTTGTTACCTCGGTGACCCTGCACAGACATCACTAATGGTCAATGACGTCAGTCAATCTTCATCTTTCCTGAATAAGTCCATTTTCTGTTATGGTGTATTTATTCCCATTTTCAATATTTATGGCAAGGGGGGATTAAAAGGCCGCCTGCCGTTAAGCCTAATGTACAATTACGTCATCATAATCTTGCCATAATAAGCCAGTTTTCAGTAATAGCGTATTCAGGCCCAATCTTCTTATTGTTTTCCATTTTTTAAAGATCATTTTCTAGCCAAGACCGAATATTTAACATTAGATATTGAAATTGCTGAATCGCCTTTGTATGGGGTCTCATACAGGATCTCTTATTTGCTTCAGTCTATGTTCCCCATAACATCAACTGCCGCTATTAGATGAACTGCAGTACATCTATTCCCTATTAACAAATCCACAGGGGCCATGACGAGGATTCGAACCTACATCCAAGAGCATCCCAGACGCTGCCTTAATCAACTGAGCTACGACATGGTAAAAGAGTTAAAACCAGAAGGTCTACTGAACTTACTAGGATCCTGCAGCCTCTCCAAAACACAAACCAGGGTTTTACACAACTCCCCCATCCACTCGAGCTATATATGTCAATAGGCCGTTCTTCCTCTCCGCCCGTACTTCATTACACACAGAAATCATAATAGCATGATGCATCAAATGTTCATTTGATGCATCGCACTATTGTGATTTCTGTGTGTTATTCCCTATTAGATTAATACCTCCTTTTCATCTTTATTTATTCACGTCAATAATGCTGCTCCATTAATATTCAAAGGGACCTATTTGTCCCCTTTATTTATCTGGAAGCTTTGTATTTATAGTGGTCAGCCAAGGATCATTTATTGAGCATAGAAATAGATGAAATTCACTATCTTCCATTCGAATGAAACAAGGAGAGCAAACACAGCATGAACTAACATGTATCTCACTTGCATCAGCGTTAAACTTTGTTACCATACTAGTATTTACCCAGGTCTTTTCCGAAATCTAAACTTATTCAATTTATACCCAATGTTTCGAGTTCTGTCTCGTGTTGATACTTTTAATAACCTATTAATTTCCCCTGTGCCCATTCATCCACTTGCACACCTCTATCATGTCACTCCCTAATTCTTAGTAAATCTTAGCAATTTAAGCTTTGTTAATCTTTCTTCAAAGATCATTTATCGAGCAGAGGAAATAAAATGAAGTCCACA